AAGAACTCCATGTATTTGATTTGATAAACGAGCTAGATATAGGCAACTCAACAGACTCAATGAAATGCATCCTAGGTTATTAGAAAACGAGCAAATTGAATCGCGGATTCGCAAAGTATATATTTTATTATATCTATAACACAGGGTCGATCTCCAAAAGAATGAAATGATGTTATAGAATGTTCTATCTTCAAAACAACTAATAGATGCAAATCTGAGAACTATCGACCCATAAGCCTAATCAGTATGTTTAAAATATGTTATTTTAGTGTCTCGATGAAAATCGGATTCTTTCTCAATAGCAGCAAGGCTTTGAAACAATTGATTGATGTTTCAATAATTTAGTAGCTCGTGAAAGATGTTATGCTCCTAGTTATTAAAAGTTACCTATAGATGCAGCCTAAAATGACTTCAACTAGGCTTTTGACTAAATTCCTCAAGAACGAGCGTTATACAGGTTAAGTCGCATTGGAAGTGGAGGCAATTTATAAATGTGCACGGATGACTCAGAGTTGTCTAGTTAGATAAGTGCATTTGCGTGCAGTTTTGGAACATGTTTTATTCCTCCCGCATGTAAATGATACTCCTGTTACCATATCACCGTTGGTTTTGGTAGATGCTGATGATATCAAGACACGGAGAGCGACAAACTATCAAGGTGATAGCTAAGGGCCTCATGATGACCCGGAAAAATTGTCTTAATGGCAGTTGTCTATAAAGGTTTCCAAGTGTATTATGATGCCTATTGGTCACCGTTGTGTCCTTGATCTGTCTGCCCACTTTTGTGCAGAGGATAACTTGTCTAATCTTGATCAAGACCTTGACGCGTTAGGCTGACTGGCTTAACCTTGATGCTTGAGTTCAATGTGAGACCGATTGCTTAGGGTAGAGAGACGAAAATTATCATATCACCTCGTTTGCTGACAAGCACACGAATGAGAGAAGACAAGTCAACTGAAACACAACCCCATTTATTCCCAATTCTGATCTGGTTCCCGATTTTAGATTAGTGTAAAAAGATACATGGCAGTGAATCATACATCAAACGAAAACTTATGCTCTGTAGAATAGACCAGGGACAAAAATAAATGTTAGTATTTTACAAGCTTTGAATTAGATGAAATAACGTCCCGAAAAATAGCTCCCACAGTATGTCTAGGCTTCTTGTTTCTTTGTTGACGTCAGTCACCAAGGTGCAGATACATACACGGTGAATGACATCGAGCTACCTTTTGTCCAGACATATAGTGACCGAATATTCATTCTTAGTCAAGACCTTGAACCTACTGCACACTGCCTTGCAATATCCGTCCAAGTTTTAAGAGCCCTATGGCCAATACGTAGGACCGATACCCATTTCGATGTTAAAAGCTTTATGACAGTTTTACCGTATCCTTACGCTCAAAACTTAAGTACTGCAAACATGCGGCTAGCCCCTGTCTTAAAAGAGGCAGTAGGATGTAGGAAAAGCCTCAAAGAACAGCATCTAAGTTAATTTCCGGAATCTCAAGGCTTCTGTATGATGCTACACATGCTAAAAAAACCTATTTCCATTGTTAAGTAGAGGAAACAGAGGCGATTTTATCACCCTCTTTAAATGAATTAGAGATAAATCATCTCCTGAATTAGCAACGACACTCTGAAAGCACCCACAAGCCCAGAAAAATTACTTGTCAGCTGACTATCGGCTATACCATCGAATCATCATCGAGTGGCATTCATCACCTCAATATATGTTTAAGATTCTATTCGTCAACATTTTCAAAGATAATTTGGATCAACTGGGAAACCACCATTGCCATGACAAACACAGGTCACTTAACACCCTGTGCTTTTCAAACTGAAATTGAAACTAATCAGAGAACATCAGTAATAATCAACTACAGCAGATAAAATTCGTGCATCACAAAGCCTTTTCGGAATCTCGAAAGTAGAAGAGAAAGAGGAAGACCAAAGAACACATAGTGTCGTGAATTGGAGGCAGACATGAAAGTACGAGTTAAAAATGAAGACAACTAAAAAGGACTGTTTGGGACAAAGTTGAAGTAAAAATCCTGATCGACATCTCATACTTCCACGAGAAATAACAGAAGTAAGCTTTTTCGCCAAACCATCCACTTATACCTAACATATTTGTCTTGTAAGCCAGGTCAGCAGACGTTTAAGTGTTTGCTGGATATAATTCAGACCAAGAAAAACTTACAATCATCAATTAGTTCATACCACTAAGCTGGCGTATGCATTCCTCCTGTCCATTTCTTTCCTACCCAAGCAAGCCACTTTTATGGTAGGATTTCATTCGTTTGGTGTGGAAACCAAAGGAGCAAGATTATTTGGCCACCTCAAAAGGGCAATCCAGACTTGAGTAACTATGGATTTGAATTTCACGTCAGACGAGAACAATATTACGGTTTGTATGTTGTAGACTCGGTAAATACAATATTAGCTCCAGTGACAGCACTTAAAATTTTACTTAGATAAACACCACCAAGTAATTTTCATAAGTCAGGACGGAGTGTCTGTCCCTGCTGATTTATATAGCGGTGAGGGGCTATTTCAAGTGTATTGTATGTTTGTACTATAAGGTCTTTCAGGAAGGAAAATTGCGTTGAATTTCAGATATCGTCGACTTTGTTTAGAAATTAGTGAAACGACAAGTTATTCCATTCTATTTGATACTAGGACCTTTATTACCTTGCACGTCCTATATTGTGGTGCGGATGAGCTATCAGTTGATAAATATGCACGTTGCAGACTTAAGTCAGGGAGGCAATCTGGCTAGATCAACATGTGACCAGCAATGGTGTGTGCATTGACTAACAGGCTGGAAGAGTATCTTCAACAAAATTACACATTCGACATCTACTATGGGAAGATATTATTACACCTGAGATCTTCAGCTCTTCTAAATGGAATAAAGTTAAAATTCTTCCATGAGATTATCTCAGCAGTCGCATAATATTCATTTTTCCCATCGTCACCAAATAACAAACCGTCCAGCCGTTTCGAAATATCTGGAAATGGTCTATTGAGCAATCAATAAGATCTTTAAACACATATCAGAACAAAACACTGAATCTGAGTGGATTTGTCCAATATACCTGTGAGCAGCATGTGAAACACTTGTCAAATGGTTTGAGAATTTCACCCCCTGTACTACCTATTTATCTAGGCAATAGAACATATGCTTAGGTCGAGCACCGTACTCTTCAGTAGAAACGTAGGCGTAGTAGTAAAGCCGATGTCTGAAACGGACATAGATCTACCTTTCAGCTCCGTTCAAATTGAAGCATTTCTTAACTTCGTATAAATTTCTTCAGATGTTCACGTACAACACTGGTCGTTTTTATGTGTACGTGATTGTTCACCAATAAGAGATTAAATACATATCTTTAGAGTACATTTTCTTGTTGAGCCTCGTTCGATGAAACTAGGTAGGATACGTAGCCTTTCTTCATGTTACACCTCGAACCGGGTGTCTGAGAAAATTTTTCTGACTCAATTCATATTTGGCTTTGATCACTACTGTTGCACAACGGGGTCAGCCTAAGCGTAATATATGAAATTAAATAGGGTTTATATTTTATGGTTCAGTCATCGTATGTCATAAGTCAGTGTAGTCCCAAAAAGTAAACGGAACACTGAGAATTCATTACTTTCTCGGTAACGAACAAAAAGACAGATCAAAGACACGTAGTTCTTAAGTTTACATACTTTGTAAATTACATGTTACCTCAGTAAATATATCTATTTCACACTTAGTACTGTCCGTGCTAGTGACAAACCAAAAGAGTGCCTCAATACTTCACAAGTGCATAGAGTCAGAAACACTGTGGTCAAAAATATAAAGCGAGGTACATTAGAGGTAAAACCATTCAAATTAAAGCTTGAGTTGTGCCTTCAGCCACATCATTTGATGACTAATGGGATCACGTTTCACGTTCGCGGGAATACGAACTATGAGTTAAAAAGCCACAAGAAAATCGGCACAGGACTGGAATATGGAAAATTTTTTAGTCAGCTCAGAAATAGCTGCCAGGGAAAGTTCCCCATAAAAGTACACTTTTACTTACGTTTGAAAAGAGCAAATTCATAGATTTCAAGTAAACTACCAATATTTAAATCTTAGGATTCTTAAGAGGAATGCTGGTAAAAAAACCACAAGTATTCAGAGTTTGACAACGCCCACACACGTAACACCTTTACACACAAAGTATGCCAACCCATTCATTTCAGAAGAGAAGAGGTTGAGAGACATATTTGGACGGTTATCGATATCTCGGGAGGCGTTTGATCCAAGCTCAGTCAGTCAGGTACAACGTAGGACCGGACACATATGTATCGGTCCAAGTAACCGTACCTCATTAGCACACCAAGATGAACACCGAATTCATAGTGGTTAATTCAATGGTGGTAATATAAAAAAGGAGGATTGCATATAAGGATATAGTAAAGAAATAATTAGTTGGTCCAAGCTAGCCAACGAATGTAGGAGATATGTAGCACGGCGTTCCCACTCATGATCTGGTGCTGATGAGTGACCAAGCACCTCCAACTAGATGTGCCCATTAAAACTGAGGTTAGAATCAAATGTCGAAGACTTACAGAACCATACGACAAAACTACATCAAATCAATTAGTTCTGCCTTGTCTAAGTGATCTATTAAACTATTGTCTATTATTACACTAATCCCTGTAATTTATAAAAAAGTATATGTACATTGAACAAAACCATATTACTAATTATAATGAAGAGAAATATCTCACATTCCTTGAAACATAACAAGTAATAAAGGCGAACTATTGAGACTACTTGAAGACAGAATATAACGAAACAATACTACATCAAATATAATTTAAATTTTGAAATATATAGAAAGCCATTCGTTTTATTTAAGAATTCTGAAAGAATACATGGCCACACAGAATTCAACTTACACAAACTAATCTCAGAATAAACTTAGTAATACCAAAGTTAGGTATATATAAATGTTACAAGATCAATTGGACACATCATTAAGTTCGGAGTTAGACTTTGATGTGATTTCTCCAGACGAGCATTCAAAGTGTTCTAGTCTACGTTTACGAACTTCCGTAAATTCCGAGTCTTCTAGATAAAAATACAAATTAAGAGGAAAAAAGGATGAAATGCAGGTGAAATAAAATATTGGTCCAGTTGGTTTATCATGTTTTAATGTAACGCCAATGACTTATGATGTACCACAATGACCTTCAATGAACGTGAGAGAAACTTAAATTGTTAAATATAATGGCGGAAATTTGGAACTCCTGAGTTCAATCTTTGACCATGTAGTAAATACAAACTGAAATTTATAGAACCAAACCATGCAAGTACCGATACTTTAAAGATAAATAAATCGTTCAGCAAAAACCTCAGATTTGGTTATCAGAAGAGCTAATCGAAAATTCATGTTCTTTGTCATTAAAAGCCGTTATTTTCCAGATGAATTCGAGATCCGCTTTTAACTATGCAGTTAAAATAAAGAAATATTTTCAATAACAAAACTACCACGATCAACATAAAACACAAGATTAGAGGACTTACCCCCAAAATCTAACACATCATTGCTACCTCTAGTTAACCCAAGCTCGTTAACACCCTAATAGTTCCAATTCAAGATTCTGATAGGAGAATACTGGTGATAAAATATCTGTACTCATTTTCGCCATTTACTTTTAAATTCCATACCTTACAGTCATTTTGAAAAATAAAGTAGTAGATTGTGTGACTGTAGTTTTTTCCTGATGATTGATCATCAAATGAAGCAAATCGATGCCTTTATATTCCTACTAGAAACAGAAATATCTCCCAGAAACCATAACGGAATTTATTTAGATTAGATTTCCAATGAACAGTTTTTCATTATTCTTAAAAAAGACATAGAGACTCAATTTCGAGATTACGAAATTCACATTTAGAAGCTTATTCTTGAGGAAACCCTGAACAACAATTCCCCTCTATTTCTTCATGTCTGAAATTGAGAGGAAGATATAAAACTCATTTTACATAATCTTAACTATGATTGAAACCTAATTGACGTTTTCGTATGAATTATTTTTCAGTTTTAACTAAGCGGTAAATTAATTTGTAACTATTCTCTTTATGTTGTAACGGAGAGGTTATCCAATCCTAAAGACTAATCAGTCCTGGTGGTTTATGCCTTAGTGTTACATTCACAGTTTCAGTCATTCATTGTGAAAGCTGTTTACTTTCTTGTTGTTTTCTAAGATAACTTCGTAAAACATTTTTCCGGGAAAGTTTTTTTAAAACTGAAACATATCATTTTCCATTCATCATATGTAAGAAGAACAAGTAAATAGTTTTAACTCAACTACATATTTAATCATCATGAAGGCATCTGAGGAATGGAAAGGAATGAGAACAAATTTCTCTTCCATAGCTTGAATATCAAGATGCCAAGGCTGTTCCATTAAAAAAATCAAAACTAGAATAAGAAGTTTACTTACCTGATGCAAGGGGACTCTTACCATCCGAGTCTAACCTGAAATAGAATGAAATGTTAGTTGAAAAACACATAAATAGCAATCATGTAGATTTGCTATCATAAAATAGTGAGAACCAGAAATATTAGATCACCAACTAAATGGCAGCTACAATGAGGAACTAACACTGACAGTTGTTATTGACACCTCAGAGATTTCGTTTTTTGAATTAGGATCTTTGCCTCATGTGAGCAGATTGATTTTGTATCTAGACAGTCTCTAGTGTAAGAATTAAAATATAAGAAAAACTATAAGAAATACAGAACTTATTTGAAAATAATCTGTCTACTGACTAGTCAGATGATAGGTAGACACATGTGGTCCAGATATTAGAAACAACCGACATAATGATGATTTTAAATGACCACTGAGCCACCTGGTATTAAATCGGAAACATTATGGGAACTAATATGTATAAATATTATTCGTCACAAAATAAAAACCAAATAAGTTTACTGGGATGATCTTAAGGTGAATGCTACAGAACACACATGTACTTGGGTTTCCATGGAACTCAACAAAAAATAACTAAAATAAAGTAATATTTAATAAATATCCATAAAAATACGAATATATCACTGAATATTTCCAACGGTATTAACAAATCACGTAATTTCTTACAACAAAATCCAGTAATCAGATATTTACATTAAAGTTCACAAAAATTAGGCTCCAAATTGAAACTAATCACTTAAGACAGTTTATTATCTCTAATATGTATTCATCGCGGAATATGTAAATAAACAGCTGAACCAACTCACGTGAGCTAACTTTAGAAAAAAGGTAGGTAACCGCTTAGGTTGCATGACCAGAAAACCATCGTGATTGGGTAACTCTCATGATTAAAAGTTCAAATTTCATAAAATATGTTCTAATTAAACGAAATGTATGACTTTCGGGACATGACATGCAAGAATGAGAAAACATTAAAACTGTTTGCATTGAAGTATTGTGCACTCCATCATGTATATACAAACTAACAAAGCAATAAGTCAAGGTTGTCATAGACTGGAGAAAAATATATATATATAACCACCAGAACTCACACAAACACCAGACATACATATTTCTTCACCCTTCTAGACTTCAATAAAAGGATATAACCAACACTACAGGGGTGTTACACTGCGAAGATGCAAATTACAATGCCATTCATCAATTTAGATTTGAGTAGTTTGCTTATCATTGGAGAGTAAGGCGATATTATTATCATGAGCAAAGTCAAAATCTTCTTTTGAATAACAGGTTTACATCAAAACCGTGCACTACCCTGAGGAAATCATTGATGACAAAATTGAAGAAAAATGACCATAACAGAGAAGCCCACTTAGGGGAATTCTAGTATTTACCCAGCTGTTCCTAGCACCAGGCAACTACATACTCCCTCTAACTTAGCATTAACACCTGATCCACATAAGGGAAGTGAACATAATTTCCATGGTACAGTCACCACATCACATGTTCGTGGACTGAACATGCAATCAGTCATGACTCAACATATAAATAGAACACCAGAATAGTACGTCAATAAGTATATTCAACAATACATTTTAAGTTAGTGTAGTCCACAAATGGGTAGCATTTTGCAAACTTTGGTTATCGAGTGTTCAGATCCCAAAACAATCTTAAAGTTACTAGCGTGCAGTTTAATTTCCACAATTTTGAATTAGTATCACCTTTTCACCAAAAAATATCCACGTTATGTGCTGTACATTCTTGCTACTATCAAATACACTTTTTCCTTACTGGTTTGCAAACATTTAATTAGCAATGTTTCCACACCATAAACAAAGCTGTTTATTAGCCGGATAGAGATTGGACTAAAGCATGTTACATGTAGGATTGTGTTGGACAAAGCTGATTCACCACTTCCCAGCCAATTAGCGGATACTCATACTTGAAGACTCTAGAATCTTCTTGCGTAAAACTATGAATATACGAACGTTTTGCTTATCGTGATTCTTAATTCCATTCAATCTTGTTTATTTAAGATATAATTACGTTCCTGTTCGACCGTGTTCTGATTTGAGGACTAGTCGAGTGGAGTAACGTGTCCGAGTGCTAAACAATAGGAGTAGCTGGGTCGCAATAAAAGAGATTATAACAGCGTTATAGCTGTTTACTTGAATGACCTTTGGAAAACCAAACAAATCTCACCACGAGTTGGATTTTTGTGAGGATTAACTAGGACTGAGGAAGAGATTAAGTCCTTTCCGTTCGTCTTTCATTGTAGTCCGTGATACTATTTCTCGACCATGTCGCCAGGATCCATTGGGTTTATGAAACATTTAAATCTTTCAAAGTTCCTGTCGAAAATACTTTTTGTATTAGGGTTACCGGCTAGAAGTGAGAAGACTATATACAAAAGCGGTTACATGACCAACCACCCCAATATGGGTACTTTCATCACACAACATAATGACTGACGGTTTTGACAGTTTTTCACGGCAAACGAACAACTTCTAAGAACTTGTGTAACAAGAGCAAATAATATACTGTCAATCAACAAATAACCAGAATATCACTAGGGATTTTCGAAAAAAACATAATGTATTGAATAACTGGCAAAACAGTTTCTAATGTGAGATGAAACCATCAGTTTCCACGTCAATTAACAGAGCGAAATGCTTCAAGTTGAACAAATCACTAAGGAGGACTGAATATCTAGCACTGTTAGTTATTCAAATTCAGGAAGACACACGGATGGGACCAACTAGAAATGAAACCACCTAATAATACATAGACTGAATTTTACATACAGAGCATAGAAAAAGAGTGACTTAATTTTCAGTGAACAATATCTGTATCAGTCGTAGCCTATAATAAAACAGAATGAAAATATTTTAGAAGTATATTCAAAAACTAGTTCAACGGGACTATACAAAAAAGTAAACATAGATTCACTTTGAAAATTGCTTCAGTACATGAAAATGTGTTGGGACCAAAAGTCAGACGGCTTTGGTAATCGGGAGATATAATAATACAAACGGAAATAATTAAGGTGAATCAGAAAACTGCTTACTGAGAATTTACATCACTACTTGAGGCTCCCTTTCCTTCATTATTTGATCCCACATCGTCGGTGTTGAGGACAGTGTTAATAGAAGTAATAGGTTCTAATTCACTTGGAGGAGCGCTAGCCGCATTGAGGTAAGCATTCATTTGCAGGACAGCTGCATTCAACAGTACATTTATTTGACGTAAAGCGGTGAAACGGGCTTCAGCACTGGCACGAAGACGAGCTTCATCAGTTGATTCAGGTGGTCCAGAGGGCGGTTCTGGCATAGGAGTATTTCCACTAGAGAACAAGTTACCTAAGCGGAGTGTGACACAATGGTTACATTAATGAGAATTGGTAGGTAGGAAAATGAGCAAAGCCTAATTTACGGAATACTATAAAGTTACACAACGTACTCATAGGCTAAGTAACATTCGAAATAAAAACATACCGTGCACTAATTTAAACTATATCTTTCGTTTAAGACGATCAGTGATCATTCTTGGCTTTCTAAATTAATTTTTTTAAAGTCAGAGAACAACCAATCACAGTCATGATTTTACTATCCTAACAGTCAATAAGTTCGTAAAATCACATAACAGGCAGACAATCAGATAACACCCTTCTTACTTAAAAGGTCAAAAATACAAATATAGGGGATATATACTTTACTGCTTCGAATTAATCGTCCATGAATGTACAGTGTCGATGACAAATACCCAAGATAGAATATGCTTCTACAGAAAGTTGAGATATCTAAGTGAAAACAGGTAATTTAAATCTTCATGTGAATGAAATTAGCAAATACTAATAAAAGTTGTCTCGAAAACCAAATGGAGCTGAGTCTGTCGGTCACTTTTTACATATTTTGTTTTAAATATGACTGATTATAAACACAGGATCCCGATAGTGCAAGATACATTGACAATATACTTTGAAAGTTGGATAGTCCAAAATTACAAGCAGAATGCATTAAGATATTTATTACACACATTACAGTCCACTTTAGCTGTTCTAACATCAAATAGTATGAATGTAAAAATAAAGTAAAAACTGAGCTTGCGAGATCGATATCGAATTAAAATGATATACAACATTCAAACTGTGTGGTTATAAACAGAATGTTCCGTTAAAACAGTGTAATAGACAATCCACCTAACTTACCAGGGTATATTATAGGCATCCCCATAAAGGGTGGTATGTATAAAGGAGGCACAGACGGAAAGACTGTCTGAGCTTGTGTAGTTGTTGAATTATTAGTAGGAGGAATAAATGGTGGATAAAACGGGAATGCATTGGCAGGAGGCTAAATAACAAACAAAATATTGAACAACAGTAACAATATGTGATAACACGAACAATTACTTAATCGATTGGAGAGCAACTGGTCGCCTGTAACATGTAATCACATCCTAAGTGACTATATAACTTGGCCAATTAATTATATTTATTGATTGTAAATACTTAATTGCATGATATTGTAAATGTGTTCACACAGTAAGATATTCACCAGTTGATGTTAAATACTGAACAGCTAAAATTATATGAAACTGACTGTATATAAATTATATAAAAATCAGTGTATTCGCGTATCTCCAGTGTCAAATAAATCCATATCAGAAGTCCTTGTGCGTTCACTAAACGTCGTTGGATTCGGGGTTTTCAGTACTAGACAAAAGTCATCTAAGAATTTCCGCGGATATAACAATGTTATGTTGAAAACGAAAGTATAACTAGGTAAACGTAACTATGTGCCACCTCCCCAAACAATAACAATTTCAACTATTCTGTAAATGAAAAACAGGTGTCAAAAGATATTAAGGAGAAATCTTTTTAATCCTTGATTAAAGAATAGAAGCTTAGATATTTGTCGAAATTAAGCAGGGAGGTATTTATAAATTAATCACCCCAGCCTCGATTCTCTTCCAGAAACTCATCCAGTTGAATAAAATGTGAATCTACATTTCTAATGACTTACATATATTCTGCCTTACCTCACTAAAAGCCCCAATTATTTTCACAAATTCCAAAATATTATTCCAGAATATCCTCTCTAAATGAACCGACCCTAGATCTTAATCACTATGCAACAAATTTACTTTTAAATAGGACAGCCCAATAATAGACTTCGTTTTTATTAGTTCATGTGTCACGCAAATATAGCTTTCATGCTCCCATGGTCTCATATCACACGCTAGTGAACAGTATAATACTAATTGGTCAGCAAATAGGGAAAAGAAATAGTTAATAATTAGCACAAAATTCCGTGGCTTAAAGCAGACTAAGAAGTCCTAAATTTAGGGGGACCGAAACCGAGAAGCTAGATAAAAATTTGTGTGCTCCACTTTGAGTCACATTGCATGCAAACATTGGAATAACTATACGTCTGCGCAAACCAAGTTCAGTAACGTTTGAACCTGTGGCCCGACGGCCCTAAACCAAATCCCATACCTATTAAGTTATTGGTCCACTTAAAGTAAAGCGAATTAATCTTAAGCATTTTATTGTTCCTATATTATTATTATTATTATCATTATTTTTTAGTTAGAATTGTTCGCAAAGAATGGGTGACTTGTCACCATAAGTCTGAAGGTCAACTGGTGAAGCTTACCATCCATGGCACTGATAAGTTTTGATTATTAGCTGCAATAGATGGTGTCGCAGTTGAATTAGATGGACCAGAAGTTGTTGAGCTTTCTGGTTGTGTATTATTGGTAGTTGCTGAACGATGAGGTTGTTGTCGCTGTCTTTCTTGCACTCTAGCTTCACGTATGACATCCATTCGACAGGTTGGACAAGTCTGTTGACGTTGAAACCACGAACGTAGACAACCAAAATGGAAAATGTGAGAACAAGGTAACCTTTTAAGAGCTGAAGTCCCAACCGATGGTATATTATCTGTCTGAAGATTCATTTCTTCACGACAGATTATGCAAACAGTATCTGAGGAGGAAGCCAAATCATCTGGAGTGGCATCGCGGAAAACTGTGTTCATGTATCGAATGGCACGACGTGACATCAACATATCCTTTACATAAAAGAATAATCAAAGAATCTCAAGTTATAATACTTACAGTAATCACACATAAAACTGATGATAGGTGATAATGTAAATGAATGTAAAACCTTATGTCTCTTAAATAAGAGCTAATTACGCAAACGGTATTATACAACGAATGAGCACCATTTACTGTTAGGTAAACGTCAGACGAAATCCTTTCTTGGTGTATAATTTTCATAGGGAGGAATACGGATGAGCCTGTAACTCCATAATTATTAAGAACATAGTAGCTTTGATGAACTACTGTTACAATTGTCATAACAGAAAAGGGTTAAGAAAATTGAAACGTATCTCACCAGTAGCTAGTCTGTAAATAAAAGCCAACACCCACGATTGTTAAATGCCCAAGGATATATTACCACAGTTGAACAAACTACTTCTGTGAATTTGGTGTTCATCTTGTTGTGCTAACGAGGTATGGTATCTTGAACCGATGTACATATGTGCCTGGTCTTACATTGTAGCTGACTGACTGACTGACAAGAATATATTGAGATAATTGGTAAGAATTATTTTGAGTGGGGAAAATATTTTACAACAAACAAACTCTAAAGAAAGAAATTTTAGTTTAGTTCCCATGGTTTCGGCAGCAGTTCAAGTGCATATTCCAAAAAACTGCAACTCTTCCATAACTCAGAAGCATATGAGAACCAATCAAATCTGTTTTTGTAAATCCCATTGAGATTAGTTTTCACTTAGATTATGCACTGTCAGTGTCGTATATAAGGTTAAGGGCAAAGAAGTTTTTCATTACTTTAGGTAACAGTCAGATGTACAGGAAAAAACTCATTTCGATTATTTATCAAGAACACGTTTATGAACACGGCTTGCAGCTATACTTTGAGTGAGGGGTGGGTTGGGCGGAATTTAAACCTTAGATCTACTGGAAGAAAGATGGTTTCCTTGATCTCTAAGCACCGGAATAAAACAAGATTAACGAACAAATATTGATAACGTTTGATGAAGGTATAGATTTCATTAACAGATCTAAATCTTGGTTATTGAGTTAAAATTTACCTTAGAAACACAAACAAAATATTCAACGAGCTGTCAACTTGAACCGATGCATATACATGGCAGGTTCTACGTTGTGAATAACTATAAACTGACCTACATAATCTTACTAGTTTACGGAAAATCGAGTGGGCAGTGCTCATGAGCTTACTGATATGAGTATAGAACAAAGTAAAAAATAGATATGTTTCCCAGCTGAGATGATTCGTTTTCGTTTGTACACTTTTAGATGTTCATCGCATTAGGTTTGTCTGACTTCGGTATGTTATTTGGTCTTCTTGTGCGGAAAATATTAGCTGATGAGACAATTACGTATGTTTCACACTTGCAAATGTTATTTATCACCAGTCAGTCACGACGTAGAACCTGTACGCATGTACATTGGTTCAAGTTGCCACACTCCTTTAGCACAGAAAGATGAAGTTGTCAGGCCAAATCCCAAAATAGTGACAGTCTTCTATCGAGCCCCTTCAACGATAACTAATGGCAATGTGACCTACTGCAGTCCATTGATAAGTCAATTACGGAGGTTACCACGTGAGACGATGTCTCTCCCTGTGTTTGAAGTTTGTGTTTGCCAAAAATAGATGGTTATCTGAGCATAGTTGCAACAGACGGTTGGCATTATCTGTTCGCTGAGCCGCAACACCTTAAGATCCGCCTAAGTACCTTTCGGTTCGGTTTAGTTTACCTAATTGAGCCCTGAAATCACTCGCTACTATCACTACATTAAGGCTTTTGTTTTTTGAATGAAGTTGGATAGCTTCCTATAAAATTAATCTTTAACTTCATCAGAGCTGCAATCAATGGAAGCGTAGGCAGAGACAACAAACAAGCAAAGGCGTGTATCCCTATCTTTTCGAGTTCTTACTGTCTCGTTTAGCTGGACAGTGCACAAGCGAATATCTATTGGAATAATGTCTAGGAGATCCTCTTCTACTTTAGAACTCAATGTTGTATATGCACCAGCGAGGCCTCGGAAAAAATGGCAGTGAGGTTTTCAGGTACTCGGAAGGTAAATCGTGCTGTTTGTTCACACTGATAAAGTGAGATCAAATGAATGACTGTACTTGTATCCTGTATAGGAGATTCGGAGACGTAGAAAGCATCAAAAGAGTGAGATACTAGAGTCCTAGCTAAAGAAGACTGTTTCCCTATCTGACACAAGGTTCGAACACTTAAAGCTCTAACGTTTAGTTTAGAGAGTGGTTTTAGGAGACCAGCAATAACATTTTGTGAACCCAAATAGTTAGCATTGGTGGCGCATGATGATAAAGATAAACGAGGTCGGAAGAATTAAGGGGTGAGGAAGGGATTCGATCATCAATAAGATGATCTCGGATGCTGATAGAAGTATGAAGGCGGTTGTCCACACTGCTGGAGGATATTTCTTCTTGAGAGGACTGAAAAAAGTTAAATTAGTGGTGTTCTTAGCGACCTGAAAGCGTGACGCATAGCCCGAGAGACAACTGCTTGTGGCTGGTCGTGCACAGCCTTTTTTAGAAAATTTTCGGTGTTAGATCCCCACTTAAAAATGCCTTACTGCTAGATACGGAAATCCATGGGGTAAAATAAGATGTGACAGCCCCTTCCATAATGAGAAGGCAGCATCGCTGCAGATGCTGGTTGTCTAATGGAAACACGTTACTGGTGTCACACTCCTCTACAGTCAGCAGTACGACTTCACCCTCTGACCTTAAGTTTCTACTTTTAGTCATACCGCTCTCCGACCGACCTGCCTGTCATAGTAGGACCTAAAGAAACATGCGTTCCAGCCAATATAGGTTGGATAAGTCCACGACAGGCAAGCCCGACTAACGTGTTAAGGTAGTAGCTACGGTCGGGTTATTTATCACCAATTTCATTTCCAAGTGAAATGAATTCTTCATGTTTTGGGTGTCTGGACTGTGACTTTTATCAGACTGCGTTATTAATATTGGGTAAGTAATAGTATTCGAACAACAGTTAGTAAAAAAATCCCAAAAAACTAATGATAGTATTATTTCAGAGTCGACAAAAGGATCCCCAACAACAAATTATGATGATATCTTTGTAATATTTATGTACGATTGTTTTTAAATTTGCAATAACAGATTGAGCATATGGATCTAAATGTTTAACTTATTTTTTAACATTTATGCCTTAATATATTGTAAGTGAGTTTTTCGCTTGTATACTGATAAATCTAACGCAACCAAACAAATATGCAAGATCTTTATTGAAGGTTAGGAAGAATAGTGTTCAGCGACAGAATGTACATGTTTTGAATCACGACGTGAAACTGACCAGAACATAAAGACAATTCATATACGATTGTGTTAGTCATACATGTAAGAATGTATAACCAAGATCACGAATACTACGAAATCTTTACAGTCAAAAACTTACTCGAATCGCCTTTTTTAGTGATCTGATGCTAAGATAGATAGGTCGCGCGATAAATAAAGGAAACGGATGCAGTGACCACATGATGAACGTAAACTCAACGTACACAGCCAAACGAATAAATCCAATGAGAATATCCACATATAAGAGATACGTAGCTTTCTTATTCCAGGAATGTTCTCGCATAGAGTCAATCGAATGTAAAATATAACGTACAGTAGTCGATAGAAGACTCAATATTAAAATGAAATACTGAAAATATTTAAAAACAAATAATCCAGTGTTAAATTAAACCTATTTAAACAAGTCGCTTGCATGAAGTACATAAAAACACTTAGAATATAATAATAGAGAATGGATTTTCTAAGTAATACATCCTTATTGCTTGCCTATAATGACAGCTGTACTATGTCGTCAGTAAACAGTGAGTGAAGACAACAGCCCAATCAATCTACGTCGAACTTAAGAATATGGAAAACGCGGTACTACGCTGGATATTATGGTTGAAGGGAAGACAGAAAACTTCATAACAAAATATTTTGGCCGTCTACATCGTGTGTAATATTCATGCTGTCGAAATAATATCTAACTTATTGATAGAACTCTACCTAATCGTGAATTAATTTAAAATATTCAGTTTGTAAAAACATGGAATAGTTTAAGTGAATATGGAACTATCATAAGGGTAACAAGATGTTTGGGATTTTTAAAAAGGTGAGAAGTGAATCTCCAACACTGTGATTAACGGTGAGTTATATGATGCACGATCCGTAATCAGTGATCATCAACCTTTAGAGGGCTCCAGACATGTCAACACTGTACCATGGTGCAAACGTAGTCGACAGTATGGAAATCTTAATGACTTATTTAACCTTGAATGAAAAATGACGTCATAAATTACGAGAAAATAACTTCAAAACACCTAGAACTACTCATTTTTAAAAATATTGGTAATAATATATTCGGGAAACGACAGTTTGCATGACAGTATGCAGGTACGATCAGGTTGATATGCATTCCATAATAGTCTTTTACCAATACAAAACTGACATTACATAGTGCCTCAAGTTAGCTGGTAATTGACAGTTAGGAGATTTTGCCAATTCAATTAGTTCCAAACTGTTTGACAGTCTAAATAATCAATGTACAGTTGTTTCTTCAAAAATGTCTGATCTACGTTTTGAGTACTGGAACATTATCTCTAGACTCCTACATAAACATTTAATAGATTAGTTAGTTTCTACTTTATAAAAACAACAATGGTCTTCATTTTAATCTTCTTTGAGAAGCAATCAATCATTAAAAATCCCTTGTAGATTTATTCAGGGGAAATATTCGGTTAGGACGTACCACTAAGATTATACTTTAGATGGAATATATTGTTTCCGTTCGAAAAAAAACTAGCAATAGTTACCATACTGCTTAACAATGTTTAGATAATTAACAAAATTAAAACCCTAGAATCAATGAGCGTGCAAGACTATAGGTGTTTAACAGTCTAGAATGTCAGGCAGATGCAACTATAACAGCGGCCCACTTTGAGCTCTCAATCGCCAGTTGCAGATTTTATAGATCATACCACAAAGAAAACATTTTCTCACAACCCATAAATTCAAGGTAGGTTTGACTGAATTCTGACAACAATGCTTCCTACGTCTTATACCTGTCCCGCTAACTAACGCAAGTTACGGTAGACGGAGACGTGGCAAGTACCAAAAAAAAAAAACAATTATCTCGCACAACTAATCCGTTTGATATATCAGATGACCATTGGTACATACCCAGTATGACAGTGAAACTTAATACACACAGAACCTGCTCACCTATTCAGCCAAAGTGTACAATTATAGACAAATGTAAGGTATGAACAAAGTTAATAATATTCAAACCTCTATCCCCAAAGCCAAATGTACGGATATTCCGTGTGTAGCTGGCTTCCAGTATGCTGTTTTGATGAAATATACGTCCACCAGAGTCAGAAGAGTAATAAGCACTGGAAAATAAATTGTTAAAATATAAACCTACTCATTGTTCGAAGATGAAACACAACACTAATGACAGGCGATCTTTCCATCTAAAAACCGGTAAGAATTATTAATAGACTTTACATAATCGACCCTTTCTTCAATAAGCCAGTGAAACGCTCTGACAAATAAAAGTATAGCGAACAAGAACAGAAATTCGACTCCCAATTCGTTCTGGAAGAAGGCAAAAACCAAGCACATGTCGAAGAAAGCATACCATGACTGTGAAACAAGATTCTGAAGACGAGTGATAAATCACTAGTAAAACTTACATCTACTTCTGCTCTTTGAAGTCGACCGAAGAAAGCATATGTGAGTGCTTTTACGACCAAGAAGAGTATAACAACACATTGAAAGAGGAGGATCTAATGGACGTTTAAGACATTTCAAAAAAGCTTACAGAAAGGGATGGCTGATTATTGGTTAAGTACACAACAGTAGGGTAAAACTGTTTTTTGCGGTAATAAGTGTTCGTTACGACGATGGATGAAACAATCAAACTTGCTGATGCAAGAATAGCGTACCTCATCCTCAAGGTCGTTACACGTAGCACGACCTTGAGAAAATTCAAAAAATAGTTTGGATCTGAGCAATAGTGTTATAAGCAATATATCAAGAAACTCTTAAAGTGTGTCTTCTATCATGCTCGTGTAGTACATAGCGATAAGTACCATTGCGAACGGATTCTAAATTTTAGTGGAATTTACCATTAATTTAAAATAGACTTAATAATTTGTCCGTCAAATTTTGACAAGTCTACAGTAGTAAAGATGGGAGATTAGTCGACCTATAGTGGTTTTTTTAATTCGTAACAATTTAGAGATCAAAACCCGCTCTAAATTTACCAACGGAAAGCGCCAGTATTACATCTTTTGTATAGCATTCCAGTAATCTACCGCTTGATGAGAGAAACGGAACTCCAGACGTAAATGATTCCATCTGCCTCTTTTAATTTCCTTAGAATGTGCTCTCCGATGGTCAGTCATGAATAAAATGAAATGATAAGACATGTCAACACCAAAACCATCTTTCAGTATGCGCTGACTCAGCACTCAATAGCGCCATAACCTGCCATTATTTAACGGAAATAGGTTGAAGCGTATCAGTCTGTCTTCATTAGTTAGACCGAAGAATTATTTCACCACTTTTATCCCTCGCCGCTTGGCTCACTCTAGTATACCGTTTTCTTACTTGAAACTATGGCTCTCTGCTTCAATCACAACGTCCGGTTTAGTACCCTTAACAATTCTTCGTTCAAGTAGTCAACTGACTTACGAATAACCCATAAGGCCCTGAAACCTTCGATAGCGGTAGCCTTACGACTACTACCAGGTCTAAAGTGTTTGCTTTTTGTGACTCCTAGATCTTTGTGTTTTCTGAATTCAGGTAATAAAATTTCACTTATTGCGTAGTGACATGAATGGTCGCAGATATGTATTTGCATCACTAAATTCATGTCGAAATTGACTTCTAATGACCACTCATACATCCACCGAAAGAATACAGAGATTGTGCCAGGTTACAAAAGTGATTACTGAGCGTAACCGAATTCGTGCAAGGTCACAAGCAGCGGAAGAATGTATGTTCTTGGCAAAGTTGAACAAACAATTACAGTAAAACAATCACAGGTACAATTGATTATAATAATGATCGTTTCTATTAAACCAGTCGTGTTCTGTTGATAAAAGTTATTGACTACAAGACACTGCGAAAACTTGCTTTTTACAGATTTCCATGTACATGAAGAGCTGTTTAACCATACTGATTGTCTCTTTATGCTATCTACGCAGATGCTTTGTTCAATTCACTTGTAAGAATAGTTCAAAAGTCACAAACACAATGCGATGAGCAGAGTAGAACCTGAAGTTCCGTCTTTGTTGGTAGATTCTTTGGAAACTACCGAGATGGTTGCTCTTATGGTTTTCATGTAGTTCCCTCCCGACCTATATCACTCAGTACTTTGTTGGCAGTGATGAGGCCTGCTTTTCATCATAAAGAGACAATTTTTCGATCTAATGGGGATGAGCCCGATTCGCCCCTCATTTCTCAGTCTCGAAACCTATTTTTTTCCGTATTTCCGTACAAATTTCAAACAGCCACATTTCATTAGAATGAATGCAAATTTTGAGTTTGAAAACGTTGATAGATTCAGGACGTTTGGTGTCAAGGAAGGTCTAGAAATCAAAGGACCTTACCGTCAGCGAAAATCTAAAGGTTTTGCCCTAGTTGATGTGACTGGATACCACAAGTGTTCAGCATTTTTTTCTTCCGCATATTAAACATCTATCATATGCTCATTAAAAAGTTATCATTACTCAGTATGTGGTGTAACATCAATTTCCTGTGCTCTTTTCTGAACATGTTAACCCGTTTCTCCAAGTATGTGTTTTTTGCAGCAATAACCAATCATATACCATGTAAAATGTCATCGATAGACGAACCCATCAATAATAAAGTGAAACGCCCACCACCACATCAACTCCCTTTGGGTTTATTGTAAAAGAATATTTGCTTTGTTGACTCATTTTTCCTATTCCCTGGCTACTGTTCGGTATGTTATTTGTCTTTGTTTTTCCCCGTATTAATAGACCGTACTGTTTGTTTGTACACTAACAATGTTAATTTATATTTTAGAAATAGATAAAGTTTGTCTAGCCAAATTGCTTGCTTGTTCTGAATTTGGCCGAGCCAAGACTCTGTATTCGACGGTCTAGGGAATAGCTCAGAATTATACCTGTAGGAAATCGCTTCCTACAGCCCCTTTCATTTAAAGTGAATAGTTGTTTTATCTTTCTACTTCAAAATTCACTACAACATTTGTTCGCGTAAGATTCGCAAAAGCTACCACGTCTTATGTTTTGGTAAATATTAAAGTTTACCCACCTCCACCATTTTTCAGTACTTCACAAATGTTTAATCCTGTGGTTACACAAACCTCAGACTTTCTGTCAAGACTAATCTTTCATAAATATTTAACACTGATACGCGCTGGTGTGAACCGTAGCTGGTGTAAATTGACGTCTGCGATACACCACTGGTGCTATGACAGAAGTTCGCCATCACGCACAGTTGGGCGTTCTTTTGAGGAGTAACATTGGCCATCTCTAAGATTCGGTCCTTAATTTACAGTTGGAAAACTGACCACCACGTACGGTGAATTTAGACTTGTTTAACGTGGGTTTTCTCAAACACACTCACCGCATTTTCGCTGGTGCTGATGTTTTTATGTCAACCGTTGGTTTAGAACTATCGTGACGTAAAACCCGACCATCGACTCAAGCTGACGGAAGTTAGTGGGAGAAAATTATCTACAAAAATATGGCATTCCTCTGGACATTCAAAAAAAGGGTTGGAAACGACTTTTTAGATTTATTAAAACACATCACTGATCTCAAATTCATCGGTGCTCTGAAAATAAAGTGGCAAACATTCTGGTTTACCCAGAACCGACCAACATCAATTACGTGTGTTAAACAACTTAGTGAGTTTTTATCAACGATTCATGACGCATTGATCGTCTTTGATGTGAACTTAAACCGAGGAACATCGTGAAAATGTGAAGCTCATCGATTTGGATGACGACGCGAGGAACAAATCCTTCAATGTTAAAGAACCCACCGACAAAGGAAAATTGCTCGCACACTGAAACATGGAAGCACCCATTGGTATCACAATAGACGCATCCGAATCAGCGATTGGAGGAATCTTAATCAATAGGTAAACAACACTTGACAACCTTTGGCATTATTCTCATGACGGTTGCAAGACACTGAATCGAGGTTTAGAACTTTCTTTATGTAACTTCTAGCCATGTATTGTGCTGTACAGCACTTACAACATTCCGTTGTGTTTTGACTTAATGGTCAGCTAGTTATCACGTAATCTATTTGTCAATCAAAATACGTTTTATTCGCTCTTATACTGTACTAAACCAATGACGTTCGAACGGTCTGATCGGCCTAGCGTCCTATTGGTCCGTTGCTCGCCTAGCCCGTCCAGCTGAGTCCAAAATGCCAACAACAGCCCCCCCCTACGAGAATCGAATCATATATAAATATATATACCAAACAGACAGACCGCAACGCAGCATAAAATAAGAAATACCTTTTATACTAAATATAGCCAAGAGTGGCTGTGAGCGTGGGAGGCAGTAGTCAATAAACTGAACAAAGCTTAAGAACAGTAAATCGTACAATAATTATATATAGGTCAAAATAAAGCTTATAACAAGGGGAATATAGATACACATAATCTAGTTACTGAATATTTATACCATAAGAATATATAAATAATATTAGTCTTTTTTTAAAACATGGTAAGTATAATGCTAACATTGAAAATTGTGTATTATTGCATTTCTTGAAGAAACCCCAAATGGTTTCTTTTTAACATTTATGTACCCATAAGATGTTTGTGAATAATAATAATAATAATAATAATAGGTCTCAGACGATACTCGTAGTGTAATCTTCACTATGATATAACATGTTGAAGGCCAAGAATTCACTCTTCAGCGATCACGAACCTCCCAGCTTCTGTCTAAGCTCGTCTCTGAACAAACATTCCCCTCGAGAGTATCAACAATTAAACGACATTTCGCAATCGAATTCAGATATACAACACATTCCGGGGGCGAAAAGTGAAGTAGCAGACTCCTTGTCTCGTATAACTTCCTCAGACAATTTCCAAAAGATCAAAATTCTCTTGCTCTCCCAGCTTAATAAAGAAGACACTTATCTTTAGCACGAGTTATCTCCAACAACACTGAAACTGCGAACCAAACAGGTGGGAACAGGTAAGGAAACATTACTATGTAACACATCTGCAAGCACGAATCATCCAATAGTGCACAATGTCTTCAATACGTTGCACAGGCCTTCTTATCCAGGTGTTCATGCAATCATCAAACTCATAGCAGAATGATTTTGCTGGCTTGGGATGAATAGAGACATGAGTAAGTGCACACACTCACGTGTGGGCGGTCAGAAATCTAAGTTGATAAGACACAACGAATGTCTCACAGACTCATTCATAAAACCCGACCCTCGTTTCAACCATGTTCATCCGAATTTCGTAGGTTCTTTACCAGACTCAAATGTATAATCTTATCTCGTAACTTACGTAGACCCTCCACTCGACGACCAAGAGCCACGAATGATATTACGGATGAATGGGTGACCCACGCCTTCGTCGAAAGACGAGTAGCAAACTCCAATCTCCCGTCAACTTTCATTCCAAACCGTGGACGCCAGTTCGCATTTAAACTTTGCTCTTATTTAACTACACCATTAGGAACCGCACGATCACCTATCACCGACAAGTGAACGGGTTGATGGAACGCTTTCACCGACAGCCTAAAGATTTATTCTCAGTTGCAAGCGTCTCACAGTGCACGCATTATTGTATACTTACAATGAGGCGCAATCCTGGTTATGTATTTTGGTGTACGGCACTGTCAACAGTCGATAGAAGGTCAAGAATATACTCTACTCGTCGATCACTTATCTCTTCACCTTCCTTATAACCGGTCTTGACACAAGCACTTCCCGGGTATCGGTAACTGGACTACATCTTATAGTCCGCTTTAAGTATGTGACGGCAAACAATGCAGTCGCGGATGGGTTTCCCCGTCAGAGATGGCCTTTGTTGAGATGTCGTGAGGCCCGAAACTATCACTAGTAAACGTACCTGTTAAAATCGTGCGGTAGTTTCTTCACTCCTTCGAAGAACCATGCACACGTATGTGACACCGCATTCGGTGTTGCAGAACTAGGCTTCGATATTATCAGTTCAGAGTAACATAGGATGAAAAATGCTACCTGTTTTATTCTGAAACAGTTTGGGTGTCTTTAGCGTCATTTTGGAGGTGAGATATATAAATGGACGAAGAATTCTTAGTACGCACAAATAGTATCATAATATGCCCAAAGAAAATATATCTTACGTCACCACAAGGAACAGAGTCCGTTTTTCGGCAAACCAGATCACGCCGATCTCATTGCTAATAATGTAACGGATATTCAGGATTTAACGCATCACCCATAATATTTTTATGATCGAAGGCTACCAACCTAGTCAAGTCAGAAGTCAGGAATGGATGAGTTCGAAATTATATTTGGAAAGTTGAAACATGTCGATGAGCGTTTGGTCTAAGGTCATCTAATAGTTATGATTGATGAGTAGTACAACGCACTCACTCGTGATTCTATAAGAATGCGTAACCGATCACCTTAAGATAGGGTGCGTTTGGTAAAACTAGTGAAGTCACCACCAATGTTAAACTTACAAAAATAGTTATTTCGGGGACTTATTTACCACAACAAATGGAAGGGAATGGAGTGAAAATCTAAATAATCTATCATATGAGAAACTTAAACAAATTTGGCCTTCAGGGTTGACAAAAGGTTTTGTATGAAGTAACATTCACGGCTTCTGTATAAACGTTTTGTCATTTCCTCACGGTTTGACAATTCCATACACTTATTTACAAGTATGTCAGTCTGGTTAACCCATTTTTGGAGCACAAAACCGACGTAACCAGAGTTTATAATGTATATAATCCTAACATAGCAGCCACACACCATGTTTACACATATGAACAACAAATTGCAACATAGGTTTACAGATAATATACTGTTGTTTCAGTTACTAAATAAATACAGTCAGCCGAAATATGTGATAGAACATTCATGTAGATATACCAATAAGTTAACAAGTGGGTTTGTTTTAGTACTGTACTATGAGTCTACTACTGTTACATTCTGTTTAGAAATGGCACCTCGTACAAACTGCGACGTTGACGAACCCACAGTTCCCTAACCTGGACAATTGAGCTTTACAATCGTGGTGCTAGAAGAGATAAAAAGAAAAAACCGAGCGTGAGAATAAACATCAGGAACACTGGTTGACAAAACTCGGCTGTTTGCAAAGGAAGAGAATAAAATATATGAATTAGCAGGTAGAATTCAAACTAATTATTGACACAAATAGTGTCCATGAGTGAACTAACTGGTAAGTAGCTGATAACGGAATCGTGAGATGGACTAGTTGGTACCATCTATACTGCGTTTTGGATCTGAGCAATCCATTAAATAGGTCTGAAGCCTCAGTAGGGTTTTTTGAAGCAAAAGCTAGTTAAAACTAGGTCATTTGAAAGTTGAGTACTTAGTCTTGTAGGTGTGTACTGAATATTTCTCGGGGAACGCTAGCCTGTGGGTCATTATCACTGACAATAAATTATCCATATTGCATTCATGAGCCAGAAGATATGTCCACCACCATCTACTATTATTGCTAATGACACAATTCAGTAAGTTGCTTTTCTCTTGTGCGAAAAAACTGACCACTTTTAGTGGAACATGCCTATATCTACAAATATTTTCGGGATAGATCTGTTTATTAAAACCAGGTCTTCATTTAATATCACGGGAAAAATTAGTTTGACTTCTACTAGATGGACGGAATGATGGGCACTCACCATAGCCTTTGAAGAAGGCTAAACTCAGAATAAATCATCGTGAACTAAAACTGATGGTCAAGCTTTATAGCAGTGTGAAATAAAGTGCTTATCGGAACGACGTCTAACAAATTCAGGTCCTACGATATCTTAGTCAACCACTGAGTTCATATTTTGTTGTAAAAGAATGCTTGGGTTGATCTAGATAAACAGTTAGCTGGTGTTGTGTGGTTACACAACACAGACGTGATAAAGTGCAGACGCTCAACGACGTTTTATCCTGCATCTTTTCCTGCCATACAAGAAGGCCAGTGAATCTAAATGCCACGAAATACACCGTAAGATAAGAAAGGAGGGATTGTGATAAGGTTAAACACCAGGACCTGGAAATATCAAAACGGAACTATCGCAGACAAAAACTTCAAGTTTGATAATTAATTTCCAGAACCGTTTCTCGGTGATTCTGGGGAGTTAAACTGAACACATAAATGTTTGGATATTACCCTTTGGTAATGCAAAACAAACTGGATGTGCCCTGGTGTTAGCTCAATTATGAAAGACAGTTAAAATAGATTGGCTGACTTAGCTTAAACAGAATATACGTTCGACACGAAATTGAAAATCGCACAAACTTTCGAGATCTAATTCGTCCGAGGACACCGGTTCTCTCGAGATTACAGGTAACCCTTGCTGACGAAAGCTAAGTAGCTTGAAACCCAAGTCCGGGCTTCCTGTCGTCTACCTCCTACATCTCGACATAGTACAGGCGACGTCGACTATTGACCAGATTGCAACGTGATTGATATAATCCAATCTGCACTAAGAAGGACCCGACACACATGACATTGGTCATTACCCAGTGATCAATCAGTTGTAAGTCGAAGTATCCCAACCAAAGTCTGACTTCATAACAGTATTTATTTCAGTGTTCAGCATAACGTCTGAAAGCTAAAATGTATCTTACAAAAATGCATGTTCTGAAGGCTGCTACACTTCCTCGACTCTTAGTGAACGTTAAAACTACATAATAGCAAAACGTCATACGATTTTGTGTAACCACAATGGCAGTGTAGTATTAATGTAACCAAATTGGAACAGATCCATTCTCAACATAAAAACACGACCCTCCATCAGCATTCACGAGACGACCATCACCACTACCTTCATTTATACTAGTCCGTACCATGTAAATCTCTAAGGGATTGGTCGATAGGGTGCTTAGATGTTTGTGGCACATTTATCAGGCTAAAAAACCCAGTTTATCTATCTTCCTTTTGGCCCTTGAGATATTATTAGGTTAAATCGGCAATATACTCTTATGAGATCGGCTTATGAGATGGTTACTTTTTGCGAAGTATTGGTAAAGCCTTGCAAATGAAGTAAATAGTAATTGTCTGGAGTAACCGAACTATTAAGGACTTTAAATTGAGCACAATGTCGAACGTCGTTGTTTTCCCGGAATATATGCAGTGGTGGGGTAGGAGGGCTATTGGAGGGTAGTGTAATACCCTATTTCAACATATTGTCAAATTCTTTAGGATTGAGAGGTCAAAAGAAATTGAAGACAGACGTCTTTCAATACCAAAATGGTCTACAAACTTGTCCCAGATTTTCTAGTTGAAAAGTTGGTTGTGACAGACTAATAAGCTGCTTCAATAGGTCGATAAACTTACCAGTGTGGTGTTATGGTTTACAGGTGAATAGAGGTTTTCATGGATATGGTCCTCTCAAAGTCGACGTTGTGATTAGTGCATACCAGAATGCGGTTCCTGGAGACGTCCTCTAGATTGCTAAACTGTTAGAAATCAGTGTCAATTATTAGTAAGACATCATCTATGAGAAGTACCGTGCTACTCTTGAAGTTTATTATCATCTGTCGACTGACACAGGTTCATCTGAGAGAAACTGGTGACTTAGTGTAACATTGGGGTCTAGTCTTTGTTTGTCCAGTGTGGTAGATGGCGCTTGAATATGTCCATCGGAGTGCGCCCCGGCTTTTCTGTCTGTAACGAACACGAGATGAATGTCTTGACGGCTGTAGCCGACAACCGAAGACGTCAATTATTGTCGGCCAAAATATTCCCCTGGCACTCAAAGTTAAAATAAATTGGCTTTGTGCACCGTCTAGCACTGCTTCTGGATCTAATTCTTAAGACTTGACAAGGTGTCCATTGAAGTCGTGGGTGCTATCTGCCCCGTTAATGTGTTTACCGTCTACCTATGATCTGTAAGTTGAGCTCTGATCAAACCATCCAGCAGGTAAGCCACTGAATGCCGAACAGTTTAGTGAGCTATCCTAAGGTCAAACAACGCGTATTAATCGTAACACGCCATGGATTGACCTATGTTGCAGTGGTTGCACTATTTCCCCAACCTATTATTACTAATACACTTTAATAATGTCATGCCAGTACAATACGGTATCTTGAAATGATAATTCACGTCCAGTATTAACCGCGGGATGTGATCTTGATGTAAGCCAGGTCAATCAACATGAGTAGACCGAGACCATCCACATAGATCGCCTACATTGATGATCTATATGCTTTATGAATTTCTTAACAACAATCGGTCAAAATATTGTAATGATTTTATGCCAAAAACAGAAATGTATGTTTTATTTATTACCATGAGTGAAGAGCTATGAATCTTACCTTGTCACGTATTAACGAGGCATCCTAGAAATTACACCGAGTACTATAACAAATGCAAGTTTTATAATGATAAAAAAGTTAACAAGCGAATACAATCTAAGAAATGGAGAAAACACTAACATATTTATGATACACTAAGAACTTATTTTTGGTACAGTTTCGACCACCAGTAGTTGACAGCTTTATTAGTCGAATTACACAATACTTCCAATCCTCTTTGATTTTCAATAGTTAATCCGAAAAACATACTGGGTAAATTCTTTGCATCCCGTTCACGTTTCACCGCAGCAGAGTAAGTTGACACACAATTGAGGATAGCTAAATCGATTCTACCTAACAATGCCAAATCTTCTTCAGGTTTTCGATTAGGTTCCCACACAACACGTTTTACCTAATAATCATTTTAAGAAATGGAGTCATATTTATAATCAAGTACTGATTGTCCAGAAACACTGAAAACACAACAAAATATTAAACAAATTTTTTTAAAAATACAAACCGAGAAACGATTGATAATCGGTAGGAGGTACATGCATGGAAGTGTAAAGGAATTTTCAATTACCAATAAGTTGACTTCATTTACCACATTTAATTTTTATTTAGGACAAACTTTAAGGAACTCAAGACTACAAGTGTTTATTTATTTATTTGGACACATGAATATTGGTACAAGAGAGCGCCAATATATATGTGCCACTACAAGTGCTGCAACTATGATTCGATTCCATTCAAACTGTTAAGAGAATTTGAAACAAATAATCCAGGTCCATGAGTAAGCCGCAATCAAACGTTATATTGTAGTAAAAACGAATCGAAAACACGCATAGACAACTGTAAAAACGAATTTCTTATTACTAGTTACCATGTTTTTACTTCTAAAACACTACAAGATACTTGTGGGGTTTTTACACAAATCGTGTAAACGTTGGATTTCGATAGTTTAAGTCAAGAGTAAATTGCTGAAGTATATTGTGCTCATATTGTAGTGAACAGAACACGGGTGAGTACAATCGAATGTATTTAACACAAAATTACAGAGCATCTCAATACATTCTGAGAACCATATATCAAATAGTTAATTTGCAAAATGTCCACCAATTGTTTCAAAATGCCTCAGACTTCATTCTCCTTGCATTTTCATACAAATTGCATTCTATTCCCGCTCTGACTTTCTTGATCTTCCCCCATCTTCTGCTGTCAGACATTACATTCCAGACTGGCGTCATATATACTTATATCAATATAAGTAACACGCACCACAATATGACAGGTCATTAGCGATAAACAGAAATTTAGGGTTCATTCTACAAAGTCCAAAGTCTGCACCTCTAAACAGACTCCTTGACCAAAACCTTCTATCTGTTAGTACAGATGTCGAGATCAAATCCCAATAACGTTATCGTTTACTGTTTCAGTCGACTTACAGAATGTGCGGATATTCTCAATTTGAAACCAAAGACTGCTAATAGACGCCTGTGGTCAGTCGGTAATTTGAAATGTTTACTGTGTAAATGGAGTGCCGTAAAAGCAACCAATAGTGTCTCTTCTACACATGACCATAGCGTCTTCACGCTGTTGTCTGTGTTCTGGATGTATGCATCACTGTTCAAATGCTTCGTTTGGGAATTCATAACAGCACCCACTTCGTATGCAGCTGCAAACGTTAACCGGAATTTCGATCATAGTGCACCAAGAGGTCAGTTTCGACCAGTTTTTTTAGTTCTTTAGAGGCCGTCTATCCAGTTTCACTTGATAGTTATTCCGAGTAAATAATAAACTAGTGTCTGTTTCTCGTGTAGAGGTGGAGAAAATGCTTAATATTAATTATCCAGTACTAAGAAGGGACGTAGAGTAGATACGTTATGAGGTGCAGGTATTCTCTAGATTGATTCAGTTCTTTAGGGTCAGAGAGGTGTTTAGAGCTATCGATATGCACTCCCCAAACACAACTTACGAGAAAACAAATCAATATTGATTTGGGTGAATTTCCGTTACAATAAATTATTCATTGCTTATGAACTTTCAATACATTTTCACTATGATTTGTGTTTAGCAAAAAATACACAGTTTATAAATACTAATCATCGTAATTGATGCATAAACGATTAACTTGAATGTATTATCAACAAAATTTCCATTACTAAACTGGTCTTTTTACCCTTGTTACCAGGGTAGGAAAGATGAGGCCATATGAAGTCTCGTTCAATTTATTAAAGTCGTAGTTGCAGAATATTACCATAGAGCACGAATGCATCACTCCACGAGTTGGAAATAGATGAATGATCCGCTAACAACTAGCTGAGCGCCGACACAGTTTCTGCAAAGGCACAGCTGAATGAATTTCTATGTAACGTAAGGTGATATTTGTTAAGTTCAATACAAAGCAATTTCAACAATAGCGTATTACACTCCATGAGTTTTATTGGTGTGCAAACTGGACGCTAAAATGTTTATGTAACGTCAGTGCCATTTATTGGATGGAATATTAGTTTCTGGTGTGGCGCATATAAATCTGGTGCCCCTTTGTACCAATATTTATGTGTTCAAATAAATAAATATATATTAGTTTCTGAGTCACAAGTAAACATGAAGATATTGCTGATGATATCTGTGTACACTGAAGATTTTTGGTTTAATATACTTGAGATTGCTTCTGAGAAAGGTTTCATATTTCCAGCAACTTAAGACATTCTTCTAATAACTACTTCGATGTTTGTGCATTTATATTTACACCCCCGATTGTCAAGAAAGTGGTTTATTCCTATGCAAATAAAGCCTGAAAAGAAATATCTCCTTTTCATTCTTGCCTACTGGCTGCTTCTGCTACCTAACGACAACACTTCAAACACCATATACCCCAAACGTTGCCACAGAAAAAAAAACAGTTTCTGAAAAGGTAGCGCTGTATTTCCAAAAATCAAAAATGTGGTACGATAGTCTTATTTATGTAATGATGAGAATGACCTTGGATAAATACAAAAAACAAACTGAGAGAAAAAGTAATCAATTAAGAATAACGAGACGTTATCGAAGACTTGTTTACTCATCAGAATTATAACTTATTAACCAAAGGAACAAATCTAAATAATCTGAAACCTTCTTAGAGGCTGTACGATGCGTAAAGCAAAGTGAACGGCACATAATAGTGGGTATTTGACAAATTGAAAAACGTTAATTTAATCAGTGCATTATCATTTACTTATAATTTACGTCGTCATTATTTTCAAGTGTTCTTAAACTTCCTAAATGTACGCAATATAAACCAGAGTTAGTTGGTCTACTGTTTTATCTGAACAGTATGGAATTGTAAACGAAGACTAGAACTAATGTATTTTATAAAAATGTCATAGTAAACAGTCCATAGTAGAACAAATGTTTAAAAAGCGTTCTTATCAAGTGAAAATTCCGAAAAAACTGATATGAAACAAATGTATTTGAAAACAAGTCGGAAAACAATTTCACCCCATACAATATCTACTGCAAAAGACAAGAGAATCTTACAGCTAATGTTGAACATCTTTCTAATCAGTGCTCAATTTTTTGTAATTATTACTGATTATGTTTCACATGAACAATTTATGAATAATGTTGCTTAACGTTGATTTGCTGAAGTACCAAATAGATGAAGATACCCATATTTTCGAAAACTACTTAGAGAACAGGACGAGTGCCTCAACAAAAGTATGATATACACCAAAGTTAGTGCATTGAAGACTGGCCATTATATGGGTCACATAGTGGATGAAAAGATGGGCAACTCTTAGACTTGGCTACCATTATAATACTGCCCAGAAAACTACATGAACCTACTTGGAAATAAATAAATAAATACAAACAACCGTTGGCAAATACGGATACAACAATAGGTGATCTAAAATAGTTTCAAAAAGACTGAAACTCCGAGACGTAGAATGATAAAACAAAAGACAATGTAGAGGTAAAGTCATACCGCCCCCAAATGCCCTAGTACGGCCGAAAGTATGGAGGGTCCGCTCCCCCTCTCGAAATGCTCTCACATGGCCACGCGTATATAGCCTCTGCCAGGGAAGTCCTACTCATTGCCTTCTCGCACCACGGGTGTTGTTTACGAAATTGAGAAGACGAAAAGCGAATGTCCGGCGCTCTAACCGGGATGGTGTACATGGATAGTCCACCTAGGGGAGTTGGACAACCCTCATTCCAAACCAATGGTGCACATGAGCTCCAGTATCCTGAAGGAACAAGTGGCGTATGAACTAATCGTTGGTCACCGGCTACCATGGGACTGCAGCTCCTCATGATGCTCCACTGCCTTGTGGATCAGACCTTCAAGTCGAAGGCACCGGGTGTGGCCCCCTAAGAAAACCACCTGCTTCAGTTTGGGCACCCGGGCAGTATCACAGCCCTAACACATATCGAATGAGATTTGTGTGGCGCATATGTATCTGGTGCCCCCTTGTACCAATATCTATGTGTTAAAATAAATAAAGAAAGAAAGAAGTCGTACCACTTGTTTGATAGAAGTGTATAGATGCCAAAACATTTTCTTCAGAAACCTACCTCCTATACATCCATATGCGATAAAAGGTGAATCAACAACCTTAACACTAATCAACAATAAGACTTATATAAATCGTGTCCTGCTTCATCTAATATTAAAGCTAAGAAATTAAAAGAAATCTCATAATTATGCTTCAAAGAGCATATACAACCAAATAGGGACTAACCGCAACAAACTCATTTGTTCAAAGGGGTGTTTCACTCTCAAACTTTGATAATTTCATAAATCCACCGATAAGAATCAAGTGACCCTTTGAATTCTATATGAATTCTTCGTAATAAATGAAATGCTTCAAATACGACAAATCTTAATTTAGGAAGACGACACACAAATATAACCAGTTGTTATAAAGTAGAAGTTTCTCAGGACTAGTAAGAGACCGCGCTTCGCTTCTACTTGGAGATACGGTAAAAACAATGGAAGAGCCTGTAAATATTAATCGATGTCATTACTAATGGCGACTTGGTTAAAATAACAAACACACACAATAATTAGTATATCCATCAGTATAACTTATAACGACTGATTATTTAGTATCAATTACATATTTCTACTTTGGCTTTCCTGGACTATCTCTACGGAATTTCAATCGTTTTCATCGACAAATGTTAGACACTATAGCTTCTAATTTATTTTGAATGGAGTCTTGCTGTATTTTTTTTTCATACTTTATATGAAAAAGTAACTAGAGGTCTTTCGAGAGAATCTTAGTATAACTATTTTTAAAGAGATACTCATCTACTAGTTAAGAACCTTGATACAGATGAGGTTCTCAGTGAGGACAAAAGTTGATTAAATAAACCATCCATCGATGACATACCAAAAATACTTGTTACTACAAATACTACAGACTAAATAAAAAACTCCATGAAAGCCTATTGTATATGAACACCTTGACATTTTAAAGATTTAAAAATGTAAGGAAATTAAACATTCAACTGAGTAATTGCAACACTTAGAAACAATATTTTCAAATATTTTTAAAAGTTGATTAAAATAAATGAAATGTCTTCACTTACAGTTGTATCACTAAAGTGACGGCGAATTAATGACAACATAGGATCATTATCAGTAGATACATATATAGTTTTTGCTTTAATTAAACGAACACCGTACGAAATTGTATGAAGAACTAATTCTTTTGAGGGGATGCACATATCTTCTGTTACTTTGTAAGGAGGAAGTTCATTAAAATCACCATGGCACTGAGCGCTTGAGAACAAGATACGTAAACCACTTTTTAAATGTGAGCAAGCATTTGACTAAAGTATACACGTAGAAAAAGTACTCATTTACTTGCTTGTTTAGCCTTCTCAGAAATGAGATATTAACAAAAACAATAAAATTAAGAATCGGCTTTTTTACATTAGTGAGCCATTATCTCCCTTTTTTATATTAAAACAGATATATAATAAACACCTAGGTGTAATGCAACTAAGAAATTGCACACAAGTTGCTAAGGCGGTTGCAAGAATAGTCAGATTTTATTAGAAAGGTTAAAACATCTTCGGGAACGATAACCGCTCGCATAGTTCCTACCAATTCGATTTTCCGCATGACCTTTACTCTCTGATTCGTTGCCATGTTTTTTAGTTCGCTAAACTGCTACATGCTCGAAGGTCATATTCTGCTAGTATAGTGACAGCTTCGTTCGAGTTGCTTTTCCTACCACAATATCAAGTTACTATGAATACAGTGCTATTTGACTTGTCTTCCCGGTCTCCCACATTGTTCGAACGTTCCATGTACCTATAAAAATTTTTGCTCTGGTTGTTAGAAGGGGCATCGGCCTCGTGGCTTCCGAAGGAACTCGGCTTTCACCATGAAGCGTCATAATTCTTCTAAATGAAGACCTTCTAACTCCCAGGGCAGAGTTAAAATGGTTTGGATTATTTTTTCTGGTAAGCGTTTTTTTAGCGAGTTAGTTTTCTACGGGATGGGGACGCTAACCCCATGCCCAACCCTCCTCCTTTACCCGGGCTTGGGACCGGCAGCAACCCTATAAGAGCTACAGGCGGAGTTCAACAGATTGTTGCTGAACCGGATGAAGGATGCAGTAGACGCCCAACTTCGAGATCAACAAGCTGGATTCCGTAAGGATCGGTCGTGCACAGATCAAATTGCAACACTACGGACCATCGTCGAACAATCAGTTGAGTGGAACTCATCACTATACATCAACTTCATTGATTATGAAAAGGCATTCGACAGTGTAGACAGGAGGACGTTATGGAAACTTCTTCGACACTACGGAATTCCTGAGAAGATTGTCAATATTATCCGAAACTCATACGACGGACTACAGTGCAAAGTAGTGCATGGAGGACAGCTGACAGATGCGTTCCAAGTAAGGACCGGAGTCAGACAAGGCTGTTTACTCTCTCCCTTCCTCTTTCTTCTGGTGGTCGACTGGATTATGAAGACCTCAACATCTGAAGGAAAACACGGAATACAATGGACAGCTCAGAACCAATTAGAAGATTTGGACTTCGCAGATGACCTAGCCCTCCTATCACGTACACACGAACAGATGCAGATAAAGACAGCCAGTGTAGCAGCAGTCTCTGCATCAGTAGGCCTCAGCATACACAAAGGGAAAACTAAGGTCGTCAAATTCAAAGCGGAGAACAGCAATCCAATCACACTTGATGGCGAAACTCTGGAAGATGTAGAATCCTTCACATACCTGGGAAGCATCATCGATGAACAAGGAGGATCCGATGCAGACGTAAAGGCGAGGATCGGCAAAGCAAGGGCCGCTTTCCTACAATTGAAGAACATATGGAACTCAAAACAACTTTCAACCAATATCAAAGTAAGAATCTTCAATACGAACGTCAAGGCAGTTCTACTGTATGGAGCTGAAACTTGGAGAACTACAACAACCACAATCAAGAAAGTACAAGTATTTATAAATAACTGTCTACGCAAGATACTCAACATCCATTGGCCGGATACCATCAGCAATAGCCTTCTGTGGGAGAGAACAAACCAACTTCCAGCTGAAGAAGAAATTAGGAAAAGACGATGGAAATGGATAGGACATACATTACGCAAATCGTCGAACTGCATCACGAGGCAAGCCCTAACTTGGAATCCTGAAGGGAAGCGAAAAAGAGGAAGGCCAAAGAACACATTGCGTCGGATAATAGAAGCAGATATGAAAAGGATGAATTACAACTGGACGGAGCTAGAAAGGATTGCCCAGGACAGGGTTGGATGGAGAATGCTGGTGAGCGGCCTATGCTCCTTCACGAGGAGTAACAGGCGTAAGTAAGTAAGTAAGTATGAATACAGTGGTCTTCTGTATTCATAGTACCGGTGTTGGAGATGGTTGGAAGAAAGTTAGGGGCGGCCAAACCAAAACGTGGCATCAGTGCTTGAAGTCACTAACTTTTAGTCTGAGCCATGTTGATAGATGCAGACTACTTGGTTGCGGTCCGCGTGACTATCGTAACCAATGGTTGGAGACTCTTGGTGACATGGCTCAGAATCGATCACAATGGCGTCGGTGTATACACTCTCTGTCTTCCCTTAAACTAAGAGATTAAAATCGCTTTATATCTTCCTTTCTACGAACTAGTTCTTTCTTCCTGTACCATATCCTTATCGCAATCTTTCCTTTATACATTATCACCTTTGAATTAACTACTTTTATGAATCCGGTGTCCATCTTGTTGTGTTAATGAGGTATGGCAACTTGGACCGATGCATATATGTGCCTGGTCCTACGTTGTAGCTGACTGACTGAGTGATATCAAGTTACTTGCAATTCCATCTTCCTCCTGTCTTAGCTGTCGAGATTTGATGTGTTAAGTATAACTGACTGTTGTCATTTCCCAAGAGAACTGATCGTATTAGAGAAGCTCAATCGTTTTCGTTCCTAAATCCGTAACATCGTAGGCCGTACTGAACACAAGTGTACTGTGTTTTAACTTATATTGGCTATTCAAAAGCCAATAATTCTTCTTCCCATGCATCAACAGACAGATGAAAATCTAAACACATGACCTGGTTGTTCACCAGACAATCTTACCGCTACCCTAGCAATTAATACAGAGAAAAAAATTGAATCACTCAAAAAAAGCACACACTAAGATAAAAAGGATTATTACTGTTGGGTACAAGTATTAAGCATAATTTTTACTCTCAATTCCTCGAGTAAACAATAAAACTTATAAGTCAAAACACAACTCACAAAATCCTCTCCATTACGTAAATGAACTCCAACTACAGGTTTATTTAACCATCGATTTATAAAATTCTCGGTGACTAGATTAATATGACTATTCCATTCTAAATAACGATGGAATACACGGTTTTCAGGACGAACAGGGAAAGACGAAGGCGGTCCAATGAATGCAAGAACTGGGTAAGTTTCTGAAGGAAATCTATATTTTAGAAACATTTATGATATGCATTAGAAAACTTACAACTGATCCCACTTCTCTTTAGGATCATCTGTACTTAGAGGAAAATAGAAACTAGAACCTGTGAAACTGACATTAAATTTATCCCAAAATTCTTTGAAAGGATTCCCGTTTTTAGCATTACAATCATTAAATAAAGGACCCGATCTAGGTCGAAAGCATAACGCTTTTAAATGCAAAATAGCTTGAAAAAGGTACCTGTACGTTTAGCTGCTGGCCAGATGACAGGAGCTTCATTCAACATAAAACTCTCCAGTGAAACAAACTGATGAACTGGTAGAAGTGTAGTGATGTTAAATAAGTTTCCAAAAGGCACAAAATTCTGAAGAATTTTAAAATAACTGTAAAAACTTACAGCCTGCAAAGATGACATAATGTTCCATGGAGGCAAAACAAGAGTACGGTTTAGTTTAATTGCAAATGCAATCATACCTAGGAACTGTTCTATCTGGTTTCCAAGCCGACCTATTAAAATACACGCGACCTTTACACAAAACATACCCATGCATGGACAGTAGGTTATATAAGCAACATTACATTGTATCACATATTGACGAACAATCATGGTCCAACAAAGAATAAATTTTATGTCGTCGATTCTCATCCTCTAAAAATGTTGAATAAACCATCGTCAAATAATACAACTCAGAACTAATTGGAAAAGATTACACTTAGATAATAAAGTGAAGTTAACAAAAGTACTTTACAATTTTTCCTTACGGATATCTGCTCGATCCAAAAGGTTTACGAATAAGTACTTGAGAAAGTATTCACGCCTAATAGTTACTTCAATACAATACAACTTAACAAATAGAAAGGACTTGACAAGTGAAAATTTAATTAAAGAGCACATTATCAATCCAAGGTTCATTTAAAGAGTAGATTACAATCAAAAGCTTATTAATATTTTACCATATACATTAGATATATTGCTCGCTTAAGATGATAAAACACCATGTTACGGCACGTTTTCTCAGTATTAATTAAAATCAGGTATCAAAATCTTGGAAATTGGAACAAATATGCCCTCTCACTGATACTTAAAGATGGATAGAACTTAGGATTGAAAACAACAAAGACTTTGGGGGAGTTTCGTGGTCAATATAGTAACTAATTAATAAACCACTAACATAATGAACTGTTTGTTTGTCTGACTTGATACTAGCTATGATTGTATTTATCTTCTAGTTTAGATGTATTTTAAACTACCCGAGACCATCATAGGTCAAAGCTTTTTACAAAGAGATGAAAATGTTCAAACTCAAAACCCGAAAAATAGCCTAAATAAAAGTGTAACTTCTTAATTGTTCAGTAATATGCTGACTGACTGAATATGCTAATTAACCAGTTAGTTGATTTCGTATGCATGCAAAAGAAATGACCTTTTCTTAACATTGGTGAATTTGTGACGAAATTTAGTACGCTTATCTTGCACATATGTGAGCAGCAGCACTGCTGTAGTTGTGATCTAGTCTATACAAGAATACTGTAAGTATCCCGTATTGTCCAATTTACCAGAATATATATATATATATATATATATATATATATATATATATATAAACCTCACTCAACCAACCTCAGTCCATTAGTCAGCATAGTGGCTGACCGACCTATAAGATCTTAATTTTAGCAAGTTTTTAAACAGTGTGAAACGTTTGAATTTGTCGCCCTAACCAAATAAACTTGATGGAAACTAGAGATAAAGACGTATCCCCTGTCATTTTAGACCAACCTATTTGACAACTTACATACAAATTTAAACGTTGTAAACAACTTGAAACTTCGGGTGCTAGAAAAGTATGGGATTTACAACTCTGCTGTTCAACATAAAATATAAATTCACAGTGAAACACTGGTTCGTAAAAAGGTTTACAATTACACCGATAGTATGGAGCTACAATACTCACTGAATGAAAAGAGTAACCATGAATTATATATTAAAAGTCACTGTTTAATCACAAAAAGTGAAACGAAATGAATCAAGACTACACTTTAAGGGAGAGTTTATCTAGCGAATAAATCTGCTGATTGACTCGAGTAATGTACGTAGGTGCAGGGGTGAGGAGTAGTGCCTTCAAAATAATAGAATTTAACCTAACAGGAATCCTATTAACCCAATATATATGTAAATTTACTAATTCTTTATCGCTGGGGTCATAAGCATTTCAGTGTTACCTATCTATTCCGTCTTATCGATCTATGCCATAATTGGTTATTTCGATCTACTTTCCATCTGTCATTGCTTTTACAAACTGTGACCATGACCGATGAGTTCGAGAAACTGTCTATTCATTAATCTGCGAGTTTTATACAACAAGATAACATGGGGGCTATGACTTCGAGTCTAGGCCCAATGTTATTTCAATATGAGTTAATCCAAATAACAGACAGTAAACAAGTGCATGCATGAAAAAAGACTTTAAACGTACAGAATAAAATACATTCTTCTAAATAACAAACAAACCCCTTTTTTATATTTTGATTTACGATATATCAACACTGTAATGAAGACAAAATATCACACACATTACAATGATAACACATCTGACAACGTCCAGTGATATAGGTATATTTAAGTCCTCAGTAGTTTGCCATGAGCATATCTGGGTAACCATTAGTGAGGTTTCATGAGTGCATGGCTGACAACATTTTTAGCCATGAAGTCATATCCCCCCGGTAGCATAAGTTTCAGTACGTAGAATATGCATTTTACACATTTTTCATTAGTATACTAACTTCTTATTTAGAAATTTCCTTCAGTCTACACTCAAGAAGTTGGCAATTATAACTGCCTCTGTTATGAAGGAGATTCTTATTGTGACCACCAAGTGGCTCATTAATAAAAAATTATACACGTATCCGGATAGCTCAATAGACATCGCGTTAAGGAACAGCGTAAAATGGGACGACAGTTGACCCACTGTCAAATGTGTCGTTTTGCACTATTTCGATCAGCTATAAATATATTAATTATTCACCTACAAACGATTCTGGTTGTGCATTAGACTTGGTTGTTATTGACCAGTGTAGTTGGATAAAGTAACTCATGATGAAACACCATTCCGTTGCACAGAGACAAACCCAGACGGTGGGCGAGTTATTAATGTTCACCTTTTGCAGCAACATGGTGAAGCAAACGCCTAATGCCTGCATGGTTATGTCGATTTGGATGTCTCAGAAATACAAGCTGGGTACACTTAGGCGGAATATCCAAAAATTGGGCTGTTATAAACTTTAACTTCTCCAAATGTTAAGTAAGTCTATTATCTCTACAAAGTTGTATAGATAATTTCAACGGAAGTAGAATCGTTGCCATTAGCCAGTGCATTGACGCCTGGTAATGGTTCAACTGGAGATGATCATGTGTAGTTCGAAGGTCCTCAGTCTTACAAATTGTCAAGGATAAACGTGAGCATGACGAAACTCTCAGCCAACGTTGCCCAATCGTCAGCCAATGATACAGATGTTATCATTAAAAAACACCCATATTAAATCATCAGTAAAAAGATCGACGAGGGATTAGCTAGGTTACAGTTCTCTTTACTAACAGCAGAATATTTAGAAGAGTTAGATGCAAATCTTCCTTCACCAAGCAGATACTTGACATAAATCTAAAAGTAAAATGGTTTAGTTTACAATTTGTTTACTTTCTAGACAGGAATGATAACTAGGTCGGTGCATAACCAGCCGAAAACATCGATTTCATCCTAGATATTAAGACCGGAATATACAACTAAAGTCACCTTGATGAAGACGACGACGAAACGAAGTATTTCCGAGTTCGGATTCAACAACAGTATGAGACTACTACATTTTGTGTCACTTATTTACAGCGTGGAATAACACGTAAATTCTTATCGACCAATATTAACGAAAACGATCTTGTTACAGTTTACGATGTCGTTAATCAAGGGCATTTTTGCAGCATAAAATAAGGTGAGCTAGCATTACTATAAAAGGGAGTAACAATTTCAACAACTTTCCGCTAGTTGGACGCCGGCATCAGCTCTTTGAGATCACATTGGTAATAAACATTTTGAAAAACACTACTTATAAATTACGAATCCATTTCAAGCAAACAACAAAACGGGGAAAAAGGCAAAATCTGAGGAAATGTGTGCGACATTGGCTAAGAAAATTTGGTGTTTATTCAGGCGAAATTGCAACTAAATGTTATCTTTCTTGCATACGATAGGGAAATTATCAGACACTTCGTTTAAATGTCTCAAACGAAATGAAGATTTTGCAAATTCACATCAATGAGAATAATAATTGACGTCTCATTTAAAATTTATTTTCATTGTCATTAATAGTTGACACAATTAACACAAACATTGAAATCCCAATCACAGCGACGTCTTCGTACTAACTTACTAGTTCCATAGTCGTCGTTCGACATTTAAGAAAATACAAAACGAATGTCATGAACAGTCCCAACATGGAAGACAATAGCGAGAAAGGCGTACATTACAAAAATGATTTATTTAAAAAATCCAACATCCAGAGTTTCCGCAATCAGTAGTTTGTCATTCACACCCTTATCACCACTGCGTATCCTAAGATGTAATAGACGAAATCACGTAGGAAGAGATTTGATCCAAAATACTTAATAGTCATTTCACCTTTATTGGTTGCTTGTAAGGATGTGAATTTGTAACTTCTCGCGTCGTAGGAGACATTTAGGCGGAGTATCTTATTGCTTCCCCATCCTCTGCAGAAAAACGGCTTTTAGTTGATAATTCACCTGAACAAATACGACATTTTCTTAGCCAGTGTTGCCCAGATTGCCTCAAAGTTGGGCCAGAATTCCCGTTTTTAGTTCAGTTATTAGATATGTATGAGCTTCACCAGTTAAAATCATGAAAACAGATTAGTGACGTTAAAAAAAATATAATTTTATTCAGCGCTGAATAATATACGATCCAGCATCACGTAATCCAGAACTTGTGGTAGACCAAAAATAGATCAATTCAAATACAGTAATAAAGTTATTACGTATAAACGGTAATGTTATAATATATCAGTTATAAGTTATAAACACAAATAAAAATTTAAGAACACTACTTAAATCAGCAAAATTGGGTGTGTTCGAGTTGTACTTGGTACCAGAATCCACAATTGTAGATAATTAATAGTTCCAATGGGATTGTTATGGTTCTAGTAATCTAGCCGAACGTAGAATATAATGTAAATGCGACGGCAGTCCATAAATGTAAATATTAGATGATTTAGAGTTCAGTTATCATAACCACAAGTAATAGAGAACGAATTCCAAGGAGCACAAGTGGTAGTGCGTCACTCCACTTCGATGTATCGGCTTGTGCCATCAGAGAGCTTTTCAATTGGCGGTGAAATCTTTCGACCAGACCATTAGCTACTGGATGTTAAACTGTCGTTTCGATGTGGTTCACTGCGAGAAGTTTGGTAAATTCCTGGAATAGGATGGATTGAAACTGAGGAACACAGTCTGTAGTGACAATAGGTGGTACTCCATAATTTGATATCCAGAGATCGAGAAAAACTGCTTCGACAGTTTCTGCTTATTTGTCTTTGATGGGGCATGCTATCGCCCATCTGGTAAATCTGTCTACAGCGGTAAGGATATGTGTAAAGGAATTTCATGGTGGAAGAGGACCAACTATATATAAATGTACATCCTGGAAACGTCTATCAAGTAAAGAAAATTTTCCAATAGGGATGACTGTGTGTCTTTGAACCTTGCGGCGTTGACACTGTATGCAGCTTCGTGTCTATCTTTTTATATCCGAGTTAATTTTGGGCCAGACAAAGCGTTCAGGAATGAGTTTGGTTGTGGCCCGGATGCCAGAGTGTGAAAGTTCGTGCAGTTGTTGGAATATACGTCGTCGAAAGGTTTCGAGAATGAAAGGACGGTTGTTGCCAATTGAAACATCGCAGATAATGGATGAACCGAAGAAAGGAATAGGTACAGATTTGAGGATCAAGCTAAACTTCTCTTTGCAGGTTTTTAGTTCTGCATCGTCTACTTGTAATTTAGCTATGGTTTCAAGACTAATGTCGTGTTTCTGCACCAGCATGTTAATATCCTTTCTCTGTGATTATGTTGGAATGTCCTTTGATGAACTGATTGTCTGTAGTGAATTGTGAAATATAATCCAGTTGTCTTGCTTCGCGTGCGGAATTTCTGTCGTACAACGTGTTAAGAAAGTAGCATAAGGGTTTATGACCAGTCACTATAGTGAAGTCGCGTCCTCGTAACAGGAAGTTGAAGTGCTTTACCGCTAAGTATATAGTTAGTAGTTCTCGTTTGAAGGTGTTGTAACGTTCCTGTGCAGGCGAGTCGTTCGGAAAAAAATGCTATAGGTGTAATGACGTCGTCGACTCGTTGTTGTAGTACTGCCCCTGCAGCTTTTTGAGATGCGTCAT